TTTTTTTCAAAATTCTGAAATCATTGAAAGAAAACATCAGTGCAATTATTTATTTGAAAAATAATAAAAGATAAATAATTATAATCGAATAAATAAATTAAAATTAAAATTTATCATTTTTGCTTAAAAAGACAACCGAAAATTAATTCTGACCTAACTCACTTACTTGTCCCCAGCAGAGTCATCAAGCTTTTACAATCGTCTTTCAGGTGGGCCTGAAATTAGGCTTTGACTTGAATAAAATGATTAGAGTCACCACCGATCATTTAAAAATAATATTATAGGTTGATCGGACACCATCTTACATGATCTGCGTTTTACCAAAAATATGTCGAGTTCGGGAGTCGGTTACGGTCAAGGAAGGATTAACACCCTTAAACCGTTCTTTCGATACCGCTTTGATTTGTCGGTTATCTTTACATGCGAAAATTATAATTTAAATTGAAATTTAAAAAATTTAACTCCAATCAATTACCTTTGATTGATTGAAAGTATCCTTAAAAAGTCAAAAATGTTAGATTGTAAAAAAATAAAAAAAAGAATAATAAAAATATATTAATATAATAATAAAATTAAATTAAATGAAAAAAATAATAAATAAAAAATAAAAGTAAAAAGGTAAAAGTAAAATAAATAAAAAATAAAAAAAAACTTAAAAATGAATAAAAAGAAAAAATAGTTAAATTTTAAAAACATGAAATAATAAAAAAAACCTAAAAGGATTATCTAAATAAAAAGAAAGACTAAAAACAAAAAAAAATATTTAAAACAATTTAAAAAAGAAAAAAAGGAATAAAAAATATAATAAAAGGAAATAAGGACACAAAATTCACTAAAAAAGATAATAATTAACCCAAATTCAACCTAAACCACTACACCTATTAAAATAATTAAATCAAACACACCCTAAACCACTACCTATTAAAATAATTAAATCAAACCCACCACAAAATTAAAAGAAAAAAAACCTAATATCTAACCCCCTCTAATCATATCACGGGGGAGACTTTGGGCAAGGGAAAAAAATAATGGGGGCCTAGCAAATAAAAATAATGAATGTTAGGTAAAATATATATATAATATAATATTTAATAAATAAAATAAATAAACCCAAAAAACGTTATGATAAAAAATATATATATAAGAATGTTTTTTTAGAAAACAACTAAAAATAACAACATATATATATATATATATATATATATATATAACATTAGGAGAAAAAAATAATAAAAAAAGGAAACTGAAATGAAAAAAAGTAAAAAATAAAAAATAAAATATATAATAATAATAACCAAAAGAGCTAAATTAAAAGAAAAAGAAAATAAATGGTAATATTTAAAAGGAAATTGAAGTTAAAATGGGGATTTATGGGGTAAAACGAAAGCTTTAAAAACTACGAGGGATCGAAATGTAATTACCCCTTTTGTGCTCAAAAAACATGCGGATCCTCTAGCTGGGTGGATCGGGTCACGGGTCAGTCGGGTCAACTATATAAGCCAAACTTCATAAACATGTTTTCATTTTTTTACTTGCCTCAAAATGGATAAAAAACCGACCCTTGCAAATTCTCTAGGTGTTCTTCATGCTCTTCGTGAAATTAAGAACACCACCGCCAATACCCAGTTTCCGGTCGGTTACCGCCACAAAATGAATAAAAAATAAATAGGTTTTTCTTAAGCTATAAATAAGTGTAAAAACACACAACAGAAAACACACGAGAAAATAGTGAGAAACGAAGCATACTTTTGTAATATTCGAAAGGAAATATTGAATAAAACATGTATTTTTTTCACTTACCTTGTTCGGCCTTGCACTTGCGTGTGGTATTTTGTTGTTTTTTTATTCGAAGCCCCATAAATCGAATGGCCGATGAACTTAAGGGGGTTTGAGATCTTAAATCTCAGATCTAGCCGTCCCCGAGGCTAGTTTTAAAAAATGGTTCAGATTTTCGAGATGGAGAGGGGAAAAGCTTTTGAAAAAACAAACTTTTTTATTTGGCCATCGTCGATGAACGGCGGCCGGCGTCGATCTACGGCGACCGATGAGGCGGTGGCCGACCGAAAATTGGGTATTGGCGGTGGTGTTCTTCATTTCACGAAGAACATGAAGGACACCCAGAGAATTTGCAAGGGTCGATTTTTGATCCATTTTGAGGCAAGTAAAAAAATGAAAACATGTTTCTGAAGTTTGGCTTATATAGTTGACCCGACTGACCTGTGACCCGATCCACCCAGCTAGAGGATCCGCATGTTTTTTTAGCAAAAAAGGGGTACTTACATTTCGATCCTTCACAGTTTTTAAAGCTTTCATTTTACACTCTAAATCCCCATTTTAACTTCAATTTTTTTTAAATATTACTATTTATTTTCTTTTTATTTTAATTTAGCCCTTTTGGTTATTATTATTATATATTTTAATTTAATTTATTTTTATTTTTTACTATTTTTTCGTTTCGATTTCTTTTTTTATTATTTTTCCTTTCTCCTAACGTTTATATATATATATATATATATATATTATTTGTTCTTTTTAGTTGTTTTTTAAAAATACATTCTTATATATATTTTTTATCATAACGTTTTTTGGGTTTATTTATTTTATTTATTAAATATTATATATTACCTAACATTCATTATTTTTATTTGCTAGGCCCCTATTATTTTTTTCTCTTACCCAAAGTCTCTCCCCGTGATATGATTAGAGGGGGGTTAGGTATTAGGTTTTTTTATTTTTTATTTTTTTCTTTTAATTTTGTGGTGGGTTTGATTTAATTATTTTAATAGGTAGTGGTTTGATTATTTTAATAAGTGTAGTGGTTTGATTATTTTAATAGGTGTAGTGGTTTAGGGTGGGTTTGATTTAATTATTTTAATAGGTGTAATGGTTTAGATTGAATTTGGATTAATTATTATCTTTTTTTAGTGAATTTCGTGTCCTTTTTTTCCTTTTATTTCATTTTTATTCCTTTTTTCTTTTTTAAATTGTTTTAAATATTATTATTATTATTATTATTTTGTTGTTTTTAGTTTTTCTTTTTATTTAGATAATCATTTTTAGGTTTTTATTATTTTAGGTTTTTATTATTTCATGTTTTTTAATTTAATTATTTTTTTCTTTTTATTCATTTTTTAGTTTTTTAGTTTTTTTTATTTCTTTTACTTTTACCTTTTATTTTTTATTTATTATTTTTTCATTTATGTTATTGTTATTATTATATTAATATTTTTTATTATTCTTTTTTTATATTTTTTTGCAATCTAACTTTTTTTACTTTTTAGTGATACTTTCAATCGATCAAAGGTAATTAATTCAAGTTGAATTTTTAAAATTTTAATTTTAATTTTCGATGGTGTTCTTCATTTCACGAAGAACATTAAGAACACCAGAGGATTTGCAAGAGTCGATTTTTTATCCATTTTGAGATAAGTGAAAAAATGAAAACATGGTTATGAAGTTTGGCTTATATAGTTGACCCGTCCAACCCGTGACCCGATCCACCCAACTAGAGGATCTGCGTGCTTTTTTAGCACGAAAGGGATAATTACATTTCTGTCCCTCACAATTTTTAAAGCTTTCGTTTAACCCCTAAATCCCCATGTTAACTTCAATTTCCTTTTAAATATTATCATTTATTTTCTTTTTCTTTTAATTTAGCCCTTTTGGTTATTATTATTATATATTTTATTTTTATTTTATTTTTTACTATTTTTTTCCGTTTCGATTTCCTTTTTTATTATTTTTTCTTTTCTTCTAACGTTATATATATATATATATATTATTTGTTCTTTTTAGTTATTTTCTAAAAAAACATTCTTATATATATATATATATTTTATCATAACGTTTTTTGGGTTTATTTATTTTATTTATTAAATATTATATTATATATATATATATATATATATATTACCTAACATTCATTATTTTTATTTGTTAGGCCCCCATTATTTTTTTCTCTTACCCAAAGTCTTCTCTGTGATATGATTAGAGGGGTTAGGTATTATGGTTTTTTTTCCTTTAATTTTGTAGTGGGTTTGAGTTAATTATTTTAATAGATATTGGTTTGATTATTTTAATAGGTGTAGAAATTTGATTACTTTAATAAGTGTAGTGGTTTGATTATTTTAAAAGGTATAGTGGTTTAAGGTGTGTTTTATTTAATTATTTTAATCTGTATAGTGGTTTAGATTGAATTTGAGTTAATTATTATCTTTTTTTTTTGGTGAATTTCGTGTCATTTTTTTCTTTTATTTTATTTTTTATTCTTTTATTCTTTTTTAAATTGTTTTAAATATTATTTTTGTTGTTGTTTCAAGTTTTTTTTATTTAGATAATCCTTTTTAGGTTTTTTTATTATTTCATGTTTTTTACTTTAACTATTTTTTTCTTTTTATTCATTTTTTTAGTTTTTCATTTCTTTTACTTTTACCTTTCTACTTTTATTTTTTATTTTATTATTTTTTCATTTATTTTATTTTTATTATTATATTAATATTTTTTATATATATATTTTTTACAATCTAACATTTTTTACTTTTTAGGGATACTTTCAATCGATCAAAGGTAACTAATTCGAGTTAAATTTTTAAATTTCAATTTAAATTTTAATTTTCACAAGTAAATATAACCGACAAATTAAAACGGTACTAAAAGGACGGTTCAAGGGTGTTAGTCATTCTTAGACCGTAACCGACTCCCGAAACCGACATATTTCTTGTAAAACGCAGATCAGATAAGATAATGTCCGATCAACCTAAAATATTATTTTTAAATGATCAGTGGTGACTCTAATCATTCCATTCAAGTCGAATATCAATTCCGGACCCACTGAAAGACGATCGCGACAGATGTCAAACTTGCTAGATGATACATAGCTCCTAAGAATGATAGCATAAGCCAACTAAATTAGGTTCTGGATTCATATGTTTTAACTCTAAAGGATTAGCTACGTTCTAATGAAGCAAGAATCTAAGACTGCAGGAGATCATTTTACTTACCAGAATAGCCTCGAACTCCCTCTCGGAGGCAGGAGTACGTTTCGGTAAAAGAGATGCTTTTTCTCCAACAGCAGTGTTGATAGGTGGAGCGGGAACGTCAGAACTTGACCTTGCAATCAAGCCATTGACGATTTCTGCATGTTTGTTTGTTGCTTGATTTTCAGCAATAGATCCTACACAACAACACAAACTTTAAAAGTGATTTGGAATATGCTAAAATGGCTATATCTTCCCTAAACATAGCGCAAACCTAAAAGATGAAAATTTTCAAATCTGAAACAACTAAAAATCGACTAGAACCAAACCTGATCCACCCGTATGCCTCCTCTAGTTAAGAGTTAATGACTCAGTAGAAGAATTAGTTCATTCAACTCAAGGCATGTATTCAGATTATATAATCCTAGTCTTAAACAACTTAACATGACAAATTGATAATCAATGATATCGAATGCATAAAGCACTCTTATTTTCTGATATCACTAACTCGAAACGATCCATCCTTGATCATCCCAAGGAAAAGAAAACAAAGTTCGTAAAACTTCAATCTCTAACTAGAACTACATCAGCAATGTTTCAATACTACAAGTACTTACATCACAGCCAAATTTGGTAGATTTCTTAGCTCTCAGGAGTTGTTATGTTCAACATGTATTGCTTTGCATCGTCAAGCTTTTTTGTTTCCAATACATGCTATTGTTTCGGATTTAGGGTTCGAATCTTGACTATGATGAAATCTATTTTGGGATTCTGTTTTTTTTCCAGGTAAGGCTGGTGCATGTTGGAACTTTAATCAGATCCATCCCAATTGTCTAGATTTCATTAAAACCAACGGTAAGTGTTCTTAGCAAATATCCATATGAAATGCTCAGATAACAAAAATGGCAAGTCCCTGGGAATAAATAAGAAATCTGTATTGTTATACCTACGGGGTAGATCTCCGGAAACTTCCGAACTTTTGACTTGCCTATATTTTCTAAACACATATCTCTGATCAACTACAATGCATAAACAAGACCTTCAACAGGCCACATAATGCATCAGAACGAAATCCAAAATCGAACTACCAGATCTACCTAACCTGTTAACTTAAAAATAGCCATAATAGCCATACTATTGACATTGAGTCCCTCTAAATACCCGACCAAGACGAAGAGGAAAGATGAGCCATCTATAACCAGTCGAACCTCCTTCTCCTTCCTCGTGATAATTCACTCTCTTCTCTCTCCAAACACGGGCCAACAGCCGATCTTTCGGTTCTCCGTCCGAATTAAAAGTGTGAATCACTAACTACCCAAACTTATTCCCATCACCAAGTATATACTAAATCCAGCATCAGCAGTTCACAGTGGACCATTTTGCAACATGCGAAATCAACAAAGAAGCAGCTTTAATACCTTGATAATTAAACGTAGAAAGAAAGCCAGAATTGAAACAAAAGGTTAGTGAATTCAATTAAACGCTCAAGAAACTCCCCAAGACCAGATCCTTTAAGGTAGATAAAGGAAACCCAGAGGCTGATTTCAGAACACAATTTGTAGAATAGTAAGCAACTCAAATTTTCAACACAGTAAAAGGCAGAGATGAGATGACATGAAACCCAAAAAGAAGACATAAAAAGAGAGAGAAGAGAGTAACCTGAAGCAGGGGGTTTGGAGTGCCTTTGAGGGAACTTAATGCGTAGAATTATCTTAAGAGCCTGCTCTGCTCCCATCTTCACTTTACCTTTCTTCTTTCGTCTCTGCTCTGCTTCTTCTCAGAAGGTTCGTTGGATGTTGTAAATTGGAATCATCAATAATCATTGTTTTCTTCTTTTTATTCATTTATTCCTTCCGTATCCAATGAGTGAAAAAAATAAAGTTCAGCAACTTCTCCTTTTCGTAATGTTGATTAAGGGTTTTTCGAGTTATTTTGTCGTTGGGTGGACGTGTCATCAGTGGCGGTTTGGTCTAGTGAAGTTTGTCGATGGTAATGACGACAAATAGGGGGTCAACCTGAGTATAAGGATCGGAGTAATAGTTTTCAAAGTTTTGAGTTTTTTTTTTATGATTCTCTAAAATTTTGAGTTTTTTTAAAATTATAATTATATTAAGTTTTTATTTTAATTAAAAAAATAAAATTACCATAATATGACATATGTCATTTAACGATAAAATTTAATGATTATTACGATCCGGACACTAATAATAATAACGTTTAAAACGTTAAACATTTAGATTGATAAAAAAAAGTTTAGGCACTACTTAAAAAATGTATAGTTTAGATACTTCTTTTTTATATTAAACCTCTTAAATAATGTATGATTTTATATTCGTATAAAGTATTATATATGGATAAATATAGAATTTATATATAAACTTTGATTTAATATATAATATTATATTGTATTAATATATAATTTTATATATGTATTTTTCAGGTGACGGCGGGGCGTCAAGGTAAGAAACGATTTTCTCCTATTGATGAGACGCTTCAGTATTAGGGATCAAAGGTTGTGCACCTAAGTTGTGTTCGTTAGAATCAGGGTCGCGGTCTTCTGATTGAGGAAAATGCCTATAAGAATTATCAAAAGCTTCATAAAATGCCATGAACGATCGACAATTTATTGAGTCGTCGACGTCTCGATATAACTCCTCAATGTAAACGAATTCAGATAATTGTTGGTTTGCAAGACTGAGAGAAGAATAAAAGAAAAAAATAAACTTGGTTATTCAGCTCTCCATTAGAGAGAGCTCAATGACACGATCGGAGTTTATCGTTGCTACCAACTTATCTTTATACGTCTCATACAAGAATGTTCCGTCTATTTGAATTATGTGTTTGCACCACATAAATCTAAGAATCAATGGCATGAATGCTCGAAAGAGACAATGAAAAAAATCGGTGTCCTTTTAGAATATCATCCCGTAATATAAAAATAGTTGGTATTAACTTCAATTTTAATTGAAAATTATGTTGAATTTTATTATAGTTCTATGGTTTAATTAAGATATATAACAAGGATTCTTGTTGATCAAATTGTTTTCCCTATAAATGTATGATAAGTCTTAATTTTTTAAGAATTGAGTGAAAGATGTTGAACAAACTTAAGAAAGATAACCTCAAAATCAGCCCATCTTATTTACAAACACATGACTAGTTTATACACAGCCTCTAGCAAACACAGACTGAACAACTAACCTTCCAGTAGTTACAAAATAGTTATAACGTTCCCTAACTTATTAACCATCATCCTAACCATAACTGTAACATACTTCCTATCTTCCTACTTTTCTAAACTTTTTTGTTGATGAAGAAAAACATTGTTGACAGACTTCAACCTCAATTCCTCTGCTGACACTACCCTTAGTTGTTCTCAGAGCCGAACAAAGAAAGGAGCAGACAAAGGCTTAGTTAACACATCAACAACTTGATCCACCGCAGGGACATAGTTAATTTGAAAAGAACCATCCATAACTTTCTCCTTACAAAGCACAAATCAAGCTTCACATGTTTGAGCTTAGCATGATTAGTATGATGAACTGGATATTAAGCTCAGTTAACAAAGACTTGATCCACATGGCGTCCCACATTACATTGGCTAAACACTGAAACTCAGCTTCAGTTGACAATCGAGACATCACACCTTCTTCAAACTCCAAGCAACAAGATTACCTCCTAAGAACATACAATGCCCTTCGATCTTCAGAGTTTGTACCCCAGTTAGAATCAGAGTAACCAACTAAAGTTGTGAGAGCTGGACTGGTGCTAAAAAAAATTAAACCATGATCCACTGTTCCTTTGAGATACCTAACAATCCTTTTAATAGCTTTCCAATGTTTATCAAGAGGCGACTGCATATATGGACTTACTTTATTTACAGCGAACAAAATATCCAGTCTCATAGTACAAATATGTTGAAGTGCACCCACGACTTGCCTGTACAAAGTTACATCTAAACAAGGGTCACCACCTTCAATAGAAAGGCTATAGGTTGTAACCATTGTAGTTGGCGTTGGATTTGTTTCTAGCATCTTCAACTTCTCAAAAAGCTCTATAATATGTTTTCTTTAATTGAGAACTATTTCCTGATCAACGTGGTGAATTGTCATTCCAATAAAGAAGTTTAACTTCCTTAGATCTTTAGAGAAAACTTGAAATTAATGTCCTTGATAACCAAGTCAACTTCCTGGGCATTATCACTAGTAGCTACTACAGTGTCAACGTACACCATAATGTAAGCTTTGGAACCATTAGTTTCTCAAAAAATAAAGAGAACTATCAGCCAAAGAAGCAGTAAAACGAAGTTGTCTCACAAGATATTCCTTGAATTTTCCATACAATAATTTCTTCAACCAACAAACCAATGGACTTCCATCACTTCCGACTTTCTTAAAATCAGGTGGTTGATGCATGTAGACTTCTTCAGGTAAATCCCCATTTAAAACTGCATTGTCCACATCAATTTGCCTGAGAATCTAGCCTTTGCTAAGAGCAAAGCTAAACAGTATCCGAACAGTTACTAGCTTCACAATCGGGCTGTAAGTTTCCTTATAATCTAAGCATGTCTGTTGCGAATATCCTTTCGCAAACAAGAAGAAGAAGGCGGTGGACATTGCCTTCAAATCCACCAATGAGAGTGATCAAGACTCAAGTGAAGAGGTGGATGATGAAGATGAAGAAGAAGAGATGGCCAAGCTCTTCAAAAGATTCAAGAGATTCATGACTTCTAAGGAAGTGAAGCATAAATCAAGCAAAAAGAAGGGTCCCCCAGTGTACTTCGAATGTCAAAGAAGGGGTATGTCAAGTATGATTGTCCCCTCCTAAAGAAGAATGGGTCAATTGAGAAAAAAGCATTTGTGGCGGCTTGTAGTAATGAAGATGACTCCAATGATGAAGTAGCCAACCTATGCCTCATGGCCGTCGAAGAAGATTCAATGATAACTTCCAGCTCTAGTGAATTAAATTCATATTCTTTTAATGAGTTACAAGTTGCCTATAATGAATTGTATTTGGAATTTGAGACCATGAATTCCAAATATAAGAAATTGATTTCAAAATTCAAAGTTGAAAATGATTTTCTCTTGAAAGAAAAATTGGATTTTGAAAAGCAAAATGGAATTTTTGAAAAATTATTTTGAGCTATCAAAACCAAAATTGAAGATTTGGAAAAAGAAAATCTTGAATTAAAAGTTAAGCTTGAATGCTTAACAAAGAAAAAGAAATCATTTCTAAAAACAATTCATCTATGTTAAGAATGGAAAAATGCTCACATTGCCATTTTCATGGTCATATGAAACATACTTGTCCTTTAAATAAAGGAAAATGTTTTAAAATTGGACAAGTATGGGTTCCTAAAGGAACAATGGGGCATTGAAACTAACGTCCAAGGATCCAAAGCAATTTGGATACCAAAATCCACATAAATGTCTCTTATAGGTGTGTGGGAGCAATGGTGATGAAAGTGAAGACACTCAAATACTCTAGTCACACTTGAAAAGGAATGGGTAACCTCTAAGCTTAATGTTTTTGTTTTGATTAATTGGTTGCCTATTTGTTGTATGCATGCATGAGTTTTGATTTTAAATACTCTTATGTTTTGTCATCTCATGTATGTTGAAAAGTGTATTATGATGGACATTTTAAAGTTTTAATGAATTTTCATAATTTTTAGTTCATCATAATAAATTTTGGTCAAAATTGGTTTTAAATGTTTTTTTTACAAATTTTAATTTTTGACCTTAATTTAAATGTTTATGCATTTAATTTATTGCAAATGATATCTCTCTAACAATTGATATCAATTTTTCAAATGCATAACATTTTTGGATAGTTTTATGCACATGCACTTAAATACAAAAATTGGTATTGCATAAAATTTATTAGACATGGATATATTGAATTTCATGTGATACTAACATGTTTGTTCATCTTTGTTGAAATTCAATTTTTTGTCAAGCTTTTAAAGTCAAAATTTTGTTTGGAATGCTTTTATTGAGGGGGGAGCTTTGATTTTTCAAATGATTTTTATGCTAAAATTTACCACTTACTCTCCATTGTTATTTTTAAACTTTAAGTTGAATTATTTTTTTATATAACAAAAAGGGGGAGAAATATAGGTTTGAAAAATTCAATTTCAAGAATGAAAAAGGTGGAGCTTTGATATTTTCCAAATATGTCTCTTTTTCATTAAATGTTTTATTAAGGGAGAGTTTTACCAAAAACATTTTTTTTTCAAATGTTTTGTTATATCAAAAAAGAGGAGATTGTTGAACCATGTTTTATAACATTTTGATATAACAAATTAAAGCAAAATGTTTTTGGACTTGATTGAATTTGTTCAAAGTTTTCGAAAGTTTTCAAAAATAATTCAAAGTTCATTAAAATAAAATTTGAGCACAAAATTGTTTTTCTGGGTACGTACGTATAGTATCGATATTGTTCTTATAGTATTGATATTGCATGAACATTACTGATATTGTTCACGTGGAATTGATACCAAATGTAAGAGAAGTATCAATACTCTCTAGGCAGTATCGATACCACCAGTTGTTTTTCAAATAGCTCAAATTTCATAATGCAAAATAGGTACCGATACTCTAAGGGATATCGATACTAGTTTACACAGTAGTATCGATACAATGAAGCATAGTATAGATATTGGTCAAGCACAACGGTCTTTAACGACTAGTTTATTTAAAAATTAAAAAGGTAGTACCGATACTCATTAAAGGAATACCGATACTCCCTGTCTTCGACAGTTTTATTTTCCAAAAAAAAATATCCCCAACGGCTAGAAACGACCACAAACACATTCCAACATATAAAAATA